GTCAAACAAAATTGACCCACACTTCGTACAATAATAATAAACGTCTTCACGATAAGGAATTGAAATCAAAATTATTTGTAACATTTATGACTCAGAATTTTGAATCAGCTTCACCAGTTTATTTTCTATTCAAATATTTTAATGTATGCCACAAAACTTCAATCTCTTTTTTGCGTGATACTTACTTAATAATACATATGCGATTTCGTGTTTCAACGATCAACTGATTTATGTGCTATGAGTTATATTTTGAAAAATGCTTGAAATAAAATTAAAACAAATATCTGGAATAGTAAGTAAACTTACGTAGTTTATACTGAATACTGAATTTATGTTCGAGCTTTTTTTCTTATTTCGCTGAACGTTACATTTAATGTACACACCTGTTTGCGTAGATTTTTACACGCTGTATATTCACGTTCACCTGCACATTTTTCAGTCTTAATAAAGAAAATTACTAAGAGGGTTCGAACCTGCGTATCTCCACTGTTAGGCCCGGTGTACATTACAGTCGTCAGCCATAAGAAATAATGTTGTCTATCAATAAAATCCATTAATTCTTTATAACTAAGAACGTTTAAGCATCGATAGCAGCAACAATATCGATAATAATAATAATAATAATAATAATAATAATAATAATAATAATAAGATAAAGTAAAGAAGAATTCTAGAGTTTATAGGATACTTGTTGCCACTTAAGTTCAATTGAATGCCAACGAAGATGTTAAATAAAGGAGTAAAAATAATGTTAACAATGTTCTAGTAGTAGCAGTATGTATCAACATTACGACTTCTAATACTGCTACTATAACCCTTTGAACAAAGCATAGCAGTTGTAGGAAATATAGCAGTCCTGTAGACATCATACTACACTACAGTTAATATTAGCGAGAGTTTCATCATAAAGTTTGTAATAGTGATGGTGCATACGATAGTGACTATAAAACGCGTAACATTTTTAAATTTGTTAGACACTTTTTCGTAGACACACACGCACACGCAAATACACACACGCACAGACGCGCACACGCACAAACGCGCGCACACACACTGAGCCTTGCTCACGCTCGGTCAACACTAGGAGGGAGGGGATTGTAGCTTATTTAGTAAACATATCCTATTTAAGTGGGGTTCGAACTGCAAAGTCGATTTTCTCATTGCCTCCTGCGTAATCACAACACTTTAAATCCATAAACTTTAACTACTTTTTAGATCATAATAGGAAGCACTGAAAATGATTCTGGTTTCATCTTTGAAAGATTGTCAAATAGAATCTATTGCAACCAACCAATTTCTCTCTGGAGGCAACTCTCGATGATCCAATGAACTTCTGCACTAATACATGTTTAACATACCCGACTCTTATTAAACAATCTTTAAAAAAATATATTGTTTTTTTTCCCCCTTTTCGTATCTTCTTATTACATATATTTTTGTCTGTCAGAAATTGATAGCAGGTAATCACGTATTAAAAAAAAAGTGATTCGCATATGTGTCATCACATGCAGGCATATACACGCATACACACAATCATCTATATGTAGAATAAGGCATAAGTGTATAAATATATACAAAGTTGTGAATATTTACAGGTTTTACAAGAGTGACAGAAATAATTATGGAAAAATCTATTATAAATACATTAATTTCAATGATATAATTTATTCTTGTATAACTTATATCATTGACATGACATATATATCATATATGTATGTATGTATGTGTCTATGTATGTATGTATGCATGCATTTTTATGAATATGTTTTAAAATGAAAACTTATTTAAAATATGAAGTGTGTATTTTCAAAATTTCCGAAAATATCGTTTTATTCAAATTCATCAATATACAGTGAACATCAAATTATAATTGAAATCATATGCAGAATTAAAGAAAAAAGTAAATACATTCGTTTGATTTTTCTTTATTAGAACCAAATTCTTATGGTATTGGTAAAGGTTGAATTTTGTATGGAGGTAGTTGTAAACTGTGTATTATGTGGGTCGTTGTAGTGCTTAATGAAAGCTTACACACACATATATATATATATATATATATATATATATATATATATATATATATATATATATATATATATATATATAAAAACATAATCAATTTTTAAAATATTTTTTAAAAATAATTATAATTTAGGCTCTACTTTTGTATTGAGCACTGTTTTTTTAAAAACAAAACAAAAAAAATACTAAAGAACTTAGGATTATTTACCTAATGTGTTCTTTGCTATTTTTCTATATATATTTTACACGCACACACACACATACACATACAAACACAAGCATATATATATGTATATGTGAACTGTTTCATATATATATGTGTGTGTGTGTATGTGTGCTCGCGCGTGCGCGTGTGTGTCTGCCCACTCTGATGAGATGTGCTACAGCGAAAGAGTCTGTCTGTGGATGACTCTCTCTCTCTCTCTCTCCCTATATATATATATATATATATATATATATATATATATATATATATATATATATATATATTCAGTTGTAGATATGAGTTTCTAAGCCTCAGTTTCAGGTTTTTGCAATCATCAGACAAACAGGTTTATTTTTTTAAAAATTGAATCAATTTATACTTGTTTGTGTTTGATTATGTTTGGTGGGGTAGGGGGGAATTCTCCATGTCCATTTAGGATTGTTTATATGGGTGTTTTTGTGTGAACTAGAATGCTTATACTAGTATGTATTTACTGTGTGCATGAGAGCGTAATCCCAAACAGACACAGAGGAGAATTTTCCCCTCCCACCACCAAACATAATCAAGCACAAGGAAGATTAAATAGATTCATTAAAAAAAAAAACAGTTTGGTGATCGCTAAAGCCTTAACTGTAACCCAGAGTCACAAACTCATATCCGTACAACTGACTATGTTAGCTCTATCACCGATATTGAGCACTTTCCAATAATTACTGCGCATATAAAATAATATATGCACAATATATATATATATATATATATATATATATATATATATATATATATATATATATATATATGTTTGTGTGAGTGCATGCGAATGCGTGTGTGTGTTAAATGATTTAGATGTCAATAAATTATATCTGTAAAAATATATTTATCAATAAAGGCAAAATTATAACTTTTCTTTATCAAAATGTTTCGTATCTGATGGACTTTATCAAGGCATAATATAAGAATTTTATTTTTCAACAAGTATTTATAACAAAATTAAAAATATTATATTTTCAACATTTTTTAATTTAAGGACTCTTCAGTCTGAAAATCAAAATAACCTATAGAGGAGACGAATGTCATTTAATGCTTAATCCAGGAAAGTCAGTAAATATTGCTGCTGTTGTTTTTCAATTTGTTCAATGGAATTATTATTCATTATCCAATTTTGATGATATAAATCTTTTATTTAATTAATGTTTTCATTTAATCGTTTACATTTAGATTTTTTTAAATTCTGAATATATTTAATTATTATTTTATTTTAAATTATTTATTTATTTTAAATAATAGAAGGTTTACCATTTTCTTTCAATTTTGTAATGTTCTAAAGTTTTTTTCTGATCATGCTGTCTTAGGATAAGGGAATATATTTTAGGAAAGGAGATGTTTGCAAAAATTCAGTCCACAGATTTACATTTTGGAAAGATTCGATAGCTGCACTTTCAAAAACTATCGGTATAAGAAAGTTAGATTTTATTTTGAAAAGTTTATCATGCTTTAGTTGTTATTTAGCATATTTCTCTGTATAGGTAATGTATTTGATAAACTGTATAAAATCCATAATACATTGATTAAATGTATAAAATCCATAATACATAGATTAAATGTATAAAATCAATAATACATTGATAAAATGTATAAAATTCGTAATACATTGATAAAATGTATAAAATATTTTTTTCTGCTCTTATAATATTTTTTTTTAATTTCTGCATGTTCACCGTAGATATTGTAAGGAATCGTTGAAATAATTTACTTTATATATATCTGCTTCAAAGTTATTATGGATATTATCTACAACAACAACGACAATAACAATAAAGTAAATAAAAACAAATATAATATGACCTACTACCTCCTTAACATCTACAACCCAAAACAATTTATCCAATATTAACAATAGCAAAATAATTACAACCGCATCCAAAGACTTATGGATATGATTAGAACATAAAAAACTGTCAATAATAATAATAATAATAATAATAATAATAATAATAATAATAATAATTCTGAATATGGTATATATATATTAAACTGTAACTATTGTTCCTGTCAATAAATTGGGGAAACTTGCAGAAATTAAAAAAAAAATAAATAAATGTATCTATGAACACAAAAAGATCTTATACGCAAAGATTTATCAAGTGTATCAGTCGTTCTTAGAAATAAGTCCAAACACAACTATGATCTAATGAATGAGACACTTGTTAAAAGAAAAAATAACTTACTGAGAGGAAAGTTATTTAGAGTGCCGCTATCGAAACTTGCCAAAATGCTAACCTTCAAAAAAAAAAAAAAATTAAATTTGCTGTTACTTATTTAGAAAGAGTGCTTGATGCCAGAAACAAAAAGTTTGTAGATACAGTGTGGAAATAGGAATCAACATTGCAGGAAGCCATTCAATTGCAAACCTCAAGCGTCTACAGATCAATATATATATATATATATATATATATATATATATATATATATATATATATATATATATATATATATATATATATATAAAAAAAAAAAGGCTATCTACTGTTCATACAGATTCTCATTTTTGTGCACCTTTATTCCAACACACGCCTACCTTAACACATGGTGTTTGTCATATTTCTCTGTGAATATATTATATCCAATAATGGAATTTGTTATACATGGTGTAACTTTAGCTCATATAGTAAAATGTTCACGTATGTAGTCTAAAGTAGGCTTTATTTTATAATTGCATAAGAATATGAAAATGTTTGTCTTAAAGGCATTTTCACAACTTTGATTAGGCTACACGTGTAAACTGAATATTGAGACTTTAACTCGCTTCCAACTATTATGCATATATATATATATATATATATATATAGAGAGAGAGAGAGAGATAGATAGATAGATAGATAGATAGATAGATAGATAGATAGATAGATAGATATGACAATATACATATTCAATGATGCCCTCACACACACATACAAATATATGTAGAATCATATGACAATGTAAAATGCACAAACTATTCAAGGCTGTTGAAAAGATATTGGCAAGACATGTATGGGAGTTCTCGACCCAAACAAAAAGTGATTTTATAACAAAATAAAAACTCTAACATTTAATCAGAATTAAGTCGAGCCAAGAGCTTTTCAAAAGGCCACTCTTAGAAAGTTAACACCGCAAAATATGCCGAATAGAAAATGTAGTCGATTTTTAAATTATTTTCGTTTCTATTTCAATAACACATTAAGCATCACTTATTTCGATTATCCGAGATACTTAGAATGATTACTTCGCTACTTACGTAAATTTAAAAGCAGTTTTAGTTGGTAGTAACATAAGTAAGATTTATGATTTATCTAAATTCATCTTGAAATTATTTCTTCGTCATACTATTTTTTTTTTTAAATACTTTTCGTCAGTGTTTCTCTCCTCAAAATTTAACTCTGCTTTGTAAGTCGTGTGCTTCTGTTGAGCTCAAGGATATGTCGTAGCAAAGCTCTAAGGCAAACACATACACATATATATGTATGCATTCCCAAATATACTGATATAGATCAATTTTCACATACATATTCTGTGTTACTATAATTATCTGTAAGTACATCTATCTACACCCCCACACGAATACACACACACACACACACACACATATATATATATATATATATGGTTTGTGGCAATACTAATATTAGCTGTTTTCTTATGAGAAAACATTCTGCATTTATTTATTTACCGAACAGCCAGTACTTGTCTATGCATGTGTGCGAATATACATTAGTTTATATATATATGCCTATATTCACTGAAAGAAATGAAAATTGTAACTCCTTCCCAATTGATGAGGCTGATTTTGACCTGCCTGTTAGCTTATCGATATTCTGACCAAATTCCCTAAGCTTTCTCCTATCTTGTAAAAAAGTAATTGTTAAACAAGTGCACTCTTTGTGATTAAGCGTTAGAATGTGAAAATCCCAAGGCAAACAAATATATCATTGAAATGAACACCTGCATCCTTTATTACATTATAAACATTTGAAATATTGTAGGCCAATTTCGATGAATTCAGGCTTGTCTTGCACAGGACGCTTCAACATTGGTAACCCTGGTCTATCGACCATTCCTTCATTCTTAGGCAAGTAATCTCTTCAGTGAGGCTATCAGAACGCTTCCAAATCAATTCGAGGACTTCATCATTCTTCTTCTTCTTCTTGTTATTATTATTATTATTATTATTTCCTTTGATTTCTGTTGAATACTCATTTCTTAAAAAAAAAATCATACATATTTTACATAGATAAAGCCCTGCATAAGGTGAGGGCTGTTCTTGTGTGAACAATTATTTGAATTTCTTTAAGACATGAGCTACCAGGAATCCCTTCAATGAGTCTATCGGAATTTTTTGCAATCAATCCGAGGGCTCCAACTACAAAGGAAATTGTTGATCTCCACATGTGCCTCATTTTTCAGATTTCGATTTCAAGGTCCTTGTATTTTTGATGGTTTTTGAAGGTTTTCAAAAAAATTATAGTCTGCAGGGACTGCCATGTCAATAAGAAAGCACATTTTATATTTGTGGTTTCTAACCACGATATCTGGGTGATTAGCTTTGATTATTTTGTCAGTGTATTCTTCTTCTTCTTCTTCTTATTATTATTATTATTGTTGTTGTTGTTGTTGTTATTGTTGTTGCTGTTATTATTATTTGAAAGAGCGTCGCGCTAACAAAGTGGTGCTGGGATACAAATATATGAAGTAAGATATAGCCACTATGACACCCGGTTTGTGAATACCAGACCCGTGTATCACACATAAAAATTCGCAATATGATAATAGGTTTTGATGAGAGCAGCACATATACTTGCAGGTAGGACTCAACTAAAAATTTCATCAGGATGTATAACCCAATCTGCCCAGATGGATTTCGCTTTGGCTCTGCCCAAATAATTTCTTGTGGCTCCCAAGTCGTCTAAGTTGCCTTATCCTTTAAATGTAAATAAGAATAAAGACACTCCTGACTTCCGACCATGATGCTCTAACCCCAACCCCGCCACCAACCTCGTTCATGAACAAAGATGCACAGTACGTCAAACCCTACGGGACATACATGTCTAACTGGTTATGGTCAGGCAACTGACATGCAAATCTCTGATAGTAAACAGGATATTCATTCTCAGCCATCTTAATTCAACAAAACCAAACATGTAGATGTTAATATGCCTACTCAGTTAAGATCAGAAGCCACGAGAGCCATGCCTGGTATAGCATGAAGGTATTTATTATTATTGTTCTTGTTATTAGTAGTAATAGTCGTATTTATCTATTGAATGTTAATATTAGTACCAATTGGTAGCTTAGATTGGGAATAAAATGGCAATATGATTTTTTTAATATTCCTGCTTTCTCTTCCATGTATTCTTCGTGTTTTCAGTTACGTGGGTGGTTTTAACTCTTTCAGTGACAACCAATTTCAGAGCAGTTTCCAGCTCTCCAAAGCAACAGCAGTTAATTTCCATATCTACCTCTGAACTATGAATATTTCGAAGTATTTGTCTTTTCACGATCCTTCAGATTTATATCGTGATCGACATCATAAAAAAAAATAGCTCCTATTCGGCATGATCAAGTTTCCTGTATTGGGGTTTGGGAGATCCGACTCACACTCAAAGTTCCAAAGATTTCATATGTTTCATTCTCTCGTGCTGAGGTTGTTCTTTGCATATAACATTGAATAGTTCTTAGTGATCATATTTCCCAATCAGTCATACCTATTTTGGCAAACAATTTTGTACATTCAGTGTTCATGTCTTTATTTAATCAAGAGTGTTGTTTACTCCTGACTTTGGCCATTATTATTATTATTATCATTATTATTATTATTATTATTATTATTATTACAAAATGTACGACTAATCAGACTGCTGCGTCCATCAATGAAAAAAATTGCATTTCTTACTATATATGTACACACCTTTACCCGATACACATGGATGGAAAGACGAACGCACACAGGCACACGCATTCGTGCACACATCCATGCGGAAGGAAAAGGATTTAAATGACAAGACAGACATGTTCATTTGGAATAATGACGCAATAACATCTTCCCAAAATATTTCCCACATTTTAAAATTCTGCTTGCCAAATTCAGACTTCCTATCTATCTATCTATCTATCTATCTATCTATCTATCTATCTATCTTCATCTATTTATCTCAGTCTGAATCTATCTATCTATCTATCTATCTATCTATCTATCTATCTATCTATCTATCTATCTATCTCAGTCTCTATCAATCTATCTATTTATCTATTTATCTTCATCTATCTATCTATCTATCTTCATCTATATCTGTATCACTGTATCTATCTATCTATCTATCTATCTATCTATCTATCTATCTTCATCTATTTATCTCAGTCTCTATCTATCTATCTATCTTCATCTATTTATCTCAGTCTGAATCTATCTATCTATCTATCTATCTATCTATCTATCTATCTATCTATCTATCTCAGTCTCTATCAATCAATCAATCTATCTATCTATTTATCTTCATCTATCTATCTATCTTCATCTATCTCTGTATCTCTGTATCTATCTATTTCTGTATCTATCTATCTATCTATCTATCTATCTATCTCTGTATCTCTGTATCTATCTATCTATCTATCTATCTATCTATCTATCTATCTATCTATCTATCTATACAGAATGTATTTGAACATAAATGCATAAATAGATAAATGGAGTATGTAAACGATATTCTCAGATGGGCATATGCCTTTCCCCTTAAATATGATGAAATGAAGAATGAAATATTTTTTGCGATACTCATCCACCTAATGGATATCTTTCTGTCATGAACTATTCCAAATTGAACTCGGTCACCAACTGTTGGACCCGATACAATATACACAATAATAATCTCATACACTAAGCAGACCATATGTAAGAAAAGGAGCGAACGGCAAACGGGTCTGTTTTTAAGCTCGGAAAAAAATCTATTATGATATGTGTAAAAGTAAAACTTAGCCAAATAACTTGCCTAATAGTCATGGGTTAGTCTTCATTTCTTTGAACTGTACTGTGCTGTGGTTTTTATCTTGTTGAATTCATGTCTTTTGCTAAATGATCCTGCTTTTGTGTGGTCCTTAGGTGCTCCAAGTAAATAATAATAATAATAATAATAATAATAATAATAATAATAATAATAATTTCATTTACAGGAATGCCAAATTTGATATGCAATACGTATTTTCTTATATGTCAGAAAGCTGAAATAAACATATTTCAAGCACAAATATGACACCGTGTTTGTTTATTCTCTTGTAATGATGTTTATATTGTTCCGAAATCTCCCTGAAGATTGATATGAATACACATGTATTTTACGAATAGTTGTAGCGATAGTAGTTGTAGTTGATTTGTAGGTAAAAGCAGAGGAGGAAGAGTTAGAGTTGTAGTAGTAGTAGTAGTATAAATTTAAATTTTCTTAAATATTTGACGGTCCTATTAAGTGGTAGCAAATCTTATCTTATTTCCAGCCATGTTTCAGCTCAAAATCTTTTATTATTATTATTATTATTATTATTATTATTATTATTATTATTATTATTATTATTATTATCTCATTGTATGTTCATACAAGTAGTAATAAGTGGCTTACACGTGAGATTAAGCAATCGAAAGTCTCCTCAGTACTACAACTCTAATCTAGCTCTTCTCTTTTCTGGATCGTCTCCAGTGCTCTGATAATAACTTGCACGACTGTCATGAACATCTTACCCAATTTCTAGGCAATGTCATGATACTTATTTTGTTGCCCTTTTTGCACGATTTTGCAGTTGTCGGGACAGTAAAATGCACTATCATTTAATATTATTATTATTATTATTATTATTATTATTATTATTATTATTCATGCATTTACATATGCACACGTGATTTCTT